GATATACCTGCCCACTCACAGCATAAAATGAATCAATTTTTTTTTTGCAGAAAATTTAAGTATCAAAATTAATTTAAATATAATTTGGAAAAAGTCTAATTTAATTTGTGGTTAATACTTTATTATTTAGTGCAAGCTTGAATCTTTAAGAGTTTTGCAAATTTATTGAAAATAGAACCTTAACTTCTCATGTAACAATAAAGCCAGTTTCATTAATCGAGACTAGAATTATAAAACGGAAACACAAAGGACATAAACGGGATATTTATCTCATATTTAAGAATTACATTCTCAAGAATAGAGCACAAGTAATTTCAGAGTATTTCTTATTCTCAATTTATGGGCATCTATGCTTTTCCTTTTTTCTCTATTTGCTTCTATTGCCTGGATACATAGAACTGAGTTGATTGTTTAAATGTATTGAGAGGGATAAATGAGTAATGATCTTATTTTTCAACAACTTGTGACAATTTGATATATACTGGCCAAATATTTATTGAAAATAATTTCAAAGTCTAATTTTTCCACAGTAACATATATATATGGTGTATGCATGTTTTTATACATGTATATGCATATGTACATATATATGTGAATTGTTAAAGTTTTGTTGCTTTTAATAATGTCTGTAAAAATAATTTCAACTTGTTATCCTTTAGTGCAAATACACAGAGATAAAAACAGATATGCAGGTAGAAAATTGAATAAGAATCAGTTTGCTTTCTCTAATTTATCCACTATTCTAAGCAATATGATTTGTCCTTGTATGATGACCAGAATTTTATAGTTGGAAGAAACTTTAGCAAGTCCTATGAATGTGTATATATCAAGTGTAACCAAGGCCATGGATAAAGTATTGTTAAATATGTAAGGGTTGAATCAAATACTCATATTTAAGTGTGAGAGCCCCACATTTCTCACCTCCAAGAACACTAGCAATCAGCCATAATTTCCTCTGGTTTGTAAACTGGTAGATCCTTTTCTGGAAAAATTGGAAGTCCCCCAGAAAACACTTATAAAACTGATAACTAAGGACATCTACAGTGAAACAAAGAGGCTACTCCAAGAGCCCTCAAAGTAAATGCTATCAGTAGTCAATGAGACTCGCTAATCACCAGCAGATTCAAGTTTCCTTTCTAAAGACTCTTTATTAATTGTGAATTAATAGACAAAAGTTAC